CGTCTCTTCCGTCTTCTTCCGCCGGGCCGTCGAGGCCGCGAGTGGGCCCGTCAGCAAAGCTTGCCGTGGGGAGCGGCTCGCTGATGCGCGGTCGACCGGGTATGTTTAACAGACCTGGTCCCAAGGTCAGCCGCAATCCCGGTCTGCCCAGTGTCATCGGTAGTCCTGTCAAAGGGGGATCGCTGGAGGAAGACAGCGCGACATTTGATCCGCCAGTCTCGCTTCCAACATCGTCAGCTGGGTCGATGGGACCGCCAGAGATACCCTCGACTGCGAGCACTCCTGCGGAAGCGATCACGGAAGTCGACGGCATGCGACGGAGCACCCGGATCGCGCAGAATACCCCTGCAGTCGACCTCCCCGAAGATTCACAGATGGAATCTGAGCCCCAGCTCACGGTTCTCAAAGGATGCATTGTCTTCGTTGATGTACGCTCAGAGTTGGGTGGGGACGATCTGAAAGATCATATTGCCTCCAAGCTGAAGGAACTCGGCGCTAGGGTGCGCTTTTCTTTTCTTGCTCCTGGCCGGCCATGCGCTGACAGCACATCAGGTTCTCGGGCAAGTTGGACAAACCTGCACCCACATCGTGTATAAGAACGGGCTGCCCAGTACCCTGTCGAGATTCAAGTAGCTATTTTCATCAGTTCGCAGTCGCAAGCTCACCACTCATCAGGCAACTGTCAGAGCCCAAACCATTTGTCGTTGGCATGGACTGGGTTTTCCGGTGCATCAACAGTCTCACACGGGAGGAGGAGCGACGCTTTCTAGTCGATATCGACGACATGAACTCCATTGCACCCAAGGTATGCGTGCTGCAGCCCTTTTGATGGCTTGAGCTCACCGTTCGGTCCAGCGCCGTAAATCGATGCTCCCCCAGCTGACATTTGACCACATGGACGAGGGAAATGATGCGGATCGCTCGTTCGAGAGCTCATCTTGTACGTTGCTTCCTGTCTTTGGTCCAGTGAAGTTTTGACTGGGTAACAGCTATGGTTGACAATGAGCTCACACCACTGGAGCGAGCTAGGCTACGAAAAGCCGCAGCTGGTAATGGAGTCAAGCCCCATCGATGAGCTGCTTGTTCGCTGTATCATTAGGATCCAGCATAGTTGCATCCTTCAATTGTAATTGTGCCTAGTGATAGGCACGTGTACATGGCACGTGGTGAGAAATAATTATGTCAGCCGCGACTATAAAATCAATGCTCGCATTCAATCATCTTTGCAAGAGAGAAATGCCACGCTGACCGGTGTTAGGTTTCCGACCGTCGAGTCAGTGCCAGTGACCCCCTTGGGGGTCCTGCTCTCTCAAGATACACTCAGTCTAGGAAGTGTCGTTTTGACAATGACGAGGAAACGGCATGTCGATTTTTTACTGGCAAATGATTCTATCTTTTGTAGTGTGCAATGAACTTTTTGACTCTCGCGGTATAAAATAACATCGTACAGTGTACCTGAGGATGACAACGACAACTGCTTACTTACATACATACACGGTCAACGGTTACAATCTTCATGGGGTGTTCAAGCCAGAAGACCGAGCAAAGTAGCCGGTGTCTGCACTTTTCTCGACGTCGGCGACGAGCCACGGATCTCAAGCAATAGCGAGGCCGCCGACTCCTCTTCGGGTGTCCGATTCGACATAACGTGTGAGTGCGTTGCGACGGGGCCCAGGCTCAGGGCCGGCGGTTGCTGTGACGGTGCCCGGACAGCAGCGAACTGGGTGGACGACGGGGGCGACGGCAGATGCGACTGGAATACAGGGGAGGTGTGCGGGGATGCACGCGGCGGCTCTGGAAGCCAGGACGAGATGGAGGGCAGACGCGCGGACCTGTCGCCTGATGGGTACGATATCACCGGACTTGCATCGGGCGTCGGGGCCTGCGATGGGCGTTCACGTTTAGTCGGCCGTTCTGTCGTTGCGACAGTACCAATGGAGGCGTCTGCCGAATGTTTGCGTTTCCGGCTGTTGGCCGCAGTTCTAGTGTCGCAGTTCGAGCAAGACGCCTGCTGAACGGCGTCCTCCAATTGGGCGACCCGCTGGACCAGGTCCTGCATATACGAGACTGTTCGCACTAAGATCTCGAGCTTGAACTCTTTCTCCTTCTCTTCTCGTTTGCCCGAGCCCTTCTTCTGTTGCGGCCTTCCGCCGCCATTAGGGTCCTCGGCATCATTCTCCTCTGCCTGATGGGGATTGTTCGGCGGAACGAGCTGCTTGAGCGTCGCCAAGGCGTCGTTTATCTTCGTGCGCCGGGCCTTCTCGATGATCGAGTGGTTGAGCTTGCGCTGTGCCTCCCGCGCCGAGCGAGACTGGGCCGCGGGCTTGCGGCCGCGTTTGGTCTTGGAGGTAGAGGTAGATGACTCTGCCGGATCGGGAGACAGACCGGGCATGGACTTGGACAGCTTGGGAGAGGTCGCCGTCATGCGGCGAGGCTCCGGGGCATACTCGGAATCGGAGGAGGTTTCAGAGGGAGTGGGCGACGCGTGCCTGAGCTGCGTGCCGTGTTTTGCGGTGCGGGGAGGGTTGCAACTGGCGGCATATACTGTGGACATGGTGCTGGTGTTGGGCAAGTGGACGGGGACGTGAAGATGCGATCCCAGGGATTTATGGAGGCGCTTCTGGCCATTTCTGCTCGTGTGCCCCTCTTGAAGGAACGTTTCTGGCACACGACCGGACGCGGCAGCCAATCAGATCGTGTGGACCGCCGCACGTTCCTCGTCTTAGATTGCTTCGACTTCCCGTCTTGGCAACGGGGCTCCAATTCAAAGATGAACGTTCATTAAGGCATATGATGAGTGTCTGGCAGAGCGTGATAGTACATACTAACTACAGTGGTCGAGAAACGGCGCAAGTCAGAGACCCGGGTGGATGCTAATAATAAGTGGCGACGGCGAGAGTTTTCCCACCGGGAATGTCGACATGAAGCCGGGGAGGGCGTGCATCTGGAAGCCGACGACCTGCGAAGCACTTGAGCTGACTGGTGCGCCAAACAGGGGTCTACGCACGACTTACACCAATGTGCGCCATGAATTTGTTGAGATTCCGCGTCCGCGACTCCATGCTACTGGGACTGGCAGCCTCAGTTGCAATGGGAGTCACTGGGACCGTGCAGTCTGCCAGCCCATATTCCTTAACCAGAGTCTCCGCTTCTTCGGACTGGAGCGCAAACAGCGATCGCAGACTGGTCGGAAATAGCGGAGACGGGCTGGCTGCCTCATTATCCGCTACAGCAGTAGTAGACAATGGCCGCAAAAGCGGCCGAAGTTCGGCGTTCAATTGCGACGGGCCTAACGCAGAATTATGCTGCCTTGCTTCGCTAGCGCAATGTTAGATGGGAGACATGGTCGTAATCAATCCCACTGACGAGTTCCTCAGAGCGCGTTGAACTTCGACGATCTGCACCTGATGCGTTTTGATCTGCTGTCGCAGCTTCTCCGGGATCTGGATACTGAGCTAGAGGTAGGTGTTACTCAATGTGATAGGAATGGTAGCGGGATATATGCCAACCTGATGCGCGACCCTCTCCTTCACTTGTTGCTCCACTGCAGATCGAACATGTGCTTTCAAAGCATCCGAGAGACTGTGTGTGACCATGCGTTTAAGATCCGCTTGAATACTCGTCGCACGGGCTTGATGATCCTCGAGCTGTTGCTCGAATAGTCCGCGGAGCCTCTCGAGCTGAGAACGTTTCGTAAGATCACAGTTAGGCGAAGAAACCAGGACGTACTTGCTCTCGTGCCTTCAGAGCGGTCCCCAGTGTCACAGCTCTATCTGACTGCTCTCCCAGCGATTCGAATGCAGTCGTAAGGATGGCGGTGTACCGCTTCATGGCGGCAACCCATTCTCCCATTGCGATCAACTCTGGCGTCACCACGAGCTTGATGCCCTTGCCGGAGTCTGCGAATTGAAGAGGCGAAAGAACTTTGTCAAATGTTTGTGGGTACGAATCCGATTGCAGGAGCGCGGTCGAAACGGTCAGTTTAGGTTTGGGGAATCCAGTGAGGGTCGTCTTCAGATGATCGCTCGCCTGGTGATTTGAGTCTGCGGTTGGGGCTTGTACTGGGTCCTGCTCCGATGGTGGAGCCTCCAGAAGTGACTCGCCAGAGCAGTCTTGAGGTTTACTGCGGGCAAGATCGACAGATTCGGTGTGCTCTGCTGGAGATGGTGGCTGCAGATTCCCCATCGATGTAGGAGATGCTGGGCGGGGGGATGGGGCTTCAGGCATGACTCTTGGAGTGGGCCGTGGCATCATCTTCGCCATTATAGCGGTGAAGGGGTAAATGACGCGTTTGAAAGGTTACTGATACCACAGACAGTTTTGGCTTTCCACATATTTGAAGGACCACGTTGAAAGGTCGTGTTTGGCCCAGAGAGGAATTGGATTGACTACTGTGGGTAAATCGAGACGGAGGATGAGTCTGCGGAGAAAGAAGGCAGATCGCGGTAGTTTCCGAATAGTAATGGCTCAGCGCTGATGGAGGAGATAGACAGAGATAAGGATGCATTGCAAGATTTGTATTGACACAAAAATCCATCAGCCAAGTATATGGAAGTCTTCGTGATCGACGGTGGGCGGTACTATTGATGCCCGCGGAGCTGGAAATGCACCACGGAGCTGGAAATTCGCTCGTTGCCACTCCGTCCGCTCATTTATCCCCCGGTATCATCCGGAATAGCTAGCTACCATACTTTTACATACTACAATAAAATATATAGGTTATATGTGAGCGGGAACCCAATCAAATACAGATACCGGTCCATCAAGTCTGGCTGTGCGGAATGATATGAGCTTCTAACGGGCTCTGCGATCGCTCGATCACCATAGAAATCGGTCAGCAAGTGCATAGGTACACCCTGAACACCCTCCAAGCTCAAGTTTTCGTTACCGGAACGGAAATGCTGGAGATTAGAACACATTGTCTCTGGGCGTGACAATCTAAACTCCGCATTGATGGAGCTCACACGTGCCACGCGTTTGTTGACGTGTGATCTTGACACGCTGCACTCATCTGTAGGCTTCGTTGACGTGTTGCATGCCCCCGTCAACACGTAACAAGATAACGCAGAACGACAAACCTTCTGATACTATCAAACCGTTTCATGAGCTCAGTCGCTCCGAGCGCGAAGAACAAATCCAGGTTGCACTACACCGGCTTCAAAACTTCCAGCGTCTAGGGGAGCGTGCCGTAGTTTCCCAAGTTGCTAGAGATATGGGGGTCCCAGGCTCCACTCTTCACGCTCGATGGAAGAACATTCACGGATCAAAAGCCGAAGCCTCTGCAGCTCAACAATACCTCCCTCCTTCCCTTGAGGCCGTTCTTGTTCAGTGGATCAAATATCTCGGATCTGTTGGTGTGCCGCTGTCCAAGAAATCGATTCGAATTCGGGCTGCACATCTCCGAGCCGATAAGAAGAAGCCCAGCCGCAATTGGATCCCACGGTTCCTCAAACGTCACTCGGACATTGTGCTTGCCACGGCATCGGGTCTTGATCCTAGACGTGCTCAGGCCTTCAACCAACCTGTTGTCGATCGCTACTTCGATGTCCTTGCAGGCACACTGGACGAGCATGAAATTCCAGTCGAGAATATCTATAACATGGATGAGAAGGGCTGCCAACGAGGCGGTGGGAAGAAGTCGGCCCGGGTCAAATACTTCTATTCCCGTCGACAGCGTGCAAAATATCGCCACCGAAGCGCAAATCTCGAGCTCATCACCATTCTAGAAGCTGTGTGCGCTGATGGATCAACACTGAAACCTGGTTTTGTTTTTCCTGGGGTCGAGCACTGTCCTGAATGGTTCAACGAGAATCAAAATATACAGTAAGTGTTATGTCCACATATTGTGTACTCGTCATGACAAGAGCCTGCCAGCGTTTCGATGTCACCTAATGGATGGACAGATAATGAGATCTTCATTGAATGGCTGCGGGACTGTTTCATACCACAAGCCAAAGATCATGCAAAAGAATGCGGCACGCAAAACAAGTCAATCCTTCTCATTCTTGATGGCCACGGCTCCCACGAGACATATGAAGCCATCGACATTGCAATCGAGCACAATGTCATTATATTATGCTTGCCACCGCATACAACTCACAAACTGCAGCCACTTGATGTTGGCGTTTTTGGCCCGTTCTCACGAGCATGGATCGAACACTGTGACACCATCCTAGACCTCACACAGCAGGAGATGCGCAAAGAAGACTTCATCAAAGAATATATGCATGTGCGTGCCGAAACATTCAAGAAGACGACAATTATCTCTTCCTTCAAAAAGAGCGGCATGTATCCTGTCAATCGTGATGCATTTACTGCAGAAGACTATGCCACCAGCATCCCATTCTCCACTGCTGCGCCTGATATTCCAGACTTACCAGATTTCCCTGAATATAGACGGCTGTGCTCACAATCGTCAGATCTGCAGCTCTCTACATCTCGTCCCGACCTTGCCTTGGAGCCGGAACTAGATCTCAGACCAGCAGTGCAACCACCTTGTGACGAGTCGGATGGCAGCAGCGAATCGGACACAGATCCTAATGACAATGATGTTAGTTGCGAGCAGCCTTACACACCCCGTCCAAATCCTCTGGCTCGGCGCAGTGGTGTGCCACCATTGCCACAACCCTATGTCTCGCATACCTCGAATTCGACCGCTGTCCATCCATCTGGATTCTATCATGACCCGGTGCTGTTTGGCCGGATACAACGCCTCGAGGGTGAGGTTCAAGCTCTTCATGGCCACATGGTGCTGCTCGAGGATGAATTGCGCGATACAAAGAGGAAGCTTTTGGCACGCACCAATGAACCAAGCAAGAAACGAAAGCTCAATGTGGAAGCACGGTGCTTAACATCGGCAGAGGGAAAGCGGTTGGCCAAGGAGGCAGATGACGAGAGGCAAGCTAAGGAGCGGGCACTGGAAGAAAAAGAAAGGCGGCAGAAAGAGAAAGAGCTTGAAATGGTGAAGCGGCGGCAAGAACGCGCTCCAGATGCGCCGTTTTTTGGATCACTTGCGGGAAAGAACAAAGAAGAGTTAATGGATCTTGCATTCGACCTCCGCCTCAACGAAAAAGGAACAAAAGCGGCCCTGGTTTCACGCATCGAGCAGCACTTCAACGAGAATCCATCCAAGAAGAGTTTAGAGAAGTATGGAGGGTTGTTTGGTGCAAAGCGTGCACGGCAACGTGGCACAGTTTTGGGGACAAATATTCCGCTCGCCGCTGCTCTGCCTTCAGCCCCTACACCGGCTCTTCCTCCCTTGAATGGCTCCCAGATTCCAACGATCGCTTCGTTCACACCTCCATTCCAATTCGATCACTCTTATCCTCATCCCCCGACACAGTTACAGCCCAGTCACGCACACTTTTACTCTGCATCTCATCCCCAAATGATATACGGACAGCCGGATCCCTTACATACATACTCATCATCCGTTAATCCCTAATCGTTGCATATACTCAGCTTTTGGTCGCAACTGATGTCATTCTTTCAATACATTCATCTGGTACATGCGTGAATGGTCAACGACGGCAGGATCCCTAGTACCGGATGGTTCAATACTTCTCGCGTTCATGCACATATTCACCAAGTCAGATGCTGCCATGGCAGCGAGTCTCCATCGTCTGTTCTCGGACAGTGTATCCTCAAGACGTCTTCTAAGGGAGTCCCGCTCGGCCAGAGCTGTCTGTAATCGCTCCTCGAGTAGCACAATCCGGTTCGAACGTGGGATGTAGCCTGAGAACTCGATGTTGCCTGAGAACGCGTAAGCACAAGGATAAATCAGCAGCAAAGTGAAGAGTGCGTACGCCCAGCACCTTCCGGTAAGGTTTCACTGTCATCCCACTCCACCTGAGAGATTCCAACCTCGGAAGAGTTCGGGCTACTAGTCAGCGCCCTGTCGATGGGACCCAGCAGCCCATGATTTAATCGCGACGTTGGTGAACCGCGATTTTTGTGAGGACTAGCATTTCGCGTGTGGGTACCGGTACCGAGTCCGTGGTCAATATATGCCGCGTCATCGAAACAAGAATCGAAGTAGAAATCCGAAGGATCCCCAGGTCTGTCCGTATGGTCAATCCTATATCTGTAGGCAGGATAGCAGATGCTCACTTTTGACACAATTTCGACGATTTCAAGCAAGTACAGCTCAAGCGGGGGGGCGGAGACTCCGCTCTTGTGTCAGAAACACCATGATTCGTTGTTCTCGCGCGCTTTTTTGGTGTTTGAGCCGGATCGGAGTGTGAGCTTGAGTCGTCGATGTCGCTCATAATGAGGAAAAGCACGCATCAGCGGAGCTCTAATTCCCCGTGTGACGAAATGTGACAAGACGCGTTAGTCCCATCCATTCTTCATAATCTCCAGCATTTCCGTTCCGGTAACGAAAACTTGAGCTTGGAGGGTGTTCAGGGTGTACCTATGCACTTGCTGACCGATTTCTATGGTGATCGAGCGATCGCAGAGCCCGTTAGAAGCTCATATCATTCCGCACAGCCAGACTTGATGGACCGGTATCTGTATTTGATTGGGTTCCCGCTCACATATAACCTATATATTTTATTGTAGTATGTAAAAGTATGGTAGCTAGCTATTCCGGATGATACCGGGGGATAAATGAGCGGACGGAGTGGCAACGAGCGAATTTCCAGCTCCGTGGTGCATTTCCAGCTCCGCGGGCATCAATAGTAGACGTCAACTGAGGAAACCGAGTAGTATCATGAGCAGAAGGTGTGCACGTGCCGATTGATGTGCACGGACCTCACGTGTGCGTGATTGAGGCAATATTTAAACTCCGCTTCATCATCCTTCATTGCAATTTTTTTCTTCTACGTTGTGTTGGGCGTCGTCTCTGACCTCGAGCATGTCGACACTAGGGCCATATTCTGGATTTGCGGAATCTGTAATAGGTGAGTCTCCTTCTCTTCATACGACACGATGAAAATACAACCCTTTTTCGTCGAGCGTGTCCACGCAGAGAGACTTTATACATGTCATAGTTACACTGATCGGTTTTCTATCTCGTGGATTGGACTTGTTTCTGACGATTGCTTCCAGTTTAAAGATGCCCTGACACGCGCGCTCGGCATACGACGTAGAATGTGAGTGCCTTTTCCTGTTCATTCATCGGGAGCGATGAACCCATATACATTTTCAAACTAGAGTATATGAGCCAAGTGCTTTGATTTTCCTTCTACTCTGACCCATCTCATCCGTACCTTTGATTTGAGGCTCATTGTGCTTACAGATATCCTGCTCTCGTCGGCGATCTCCCTCGTCCTCGTACAACAAGCACATATTGAACGAAGGTGAGCCATTTTCCTCTGCTTCTCTGAAAGATGATCAAAAGGAATTACCGCCTGAGTCTCCGGACTTTGACGACATTTCCATGGCTGTTTTTATTATAAAATCCTGACTCTCTTGTCACCGTCTTTGCATATTTTTTCTGACGCTTTTCGCGCAGGTGCTCTGCTTGATGCCTTCAGTCATCATTTGGGCGTCGCCCCAGAAATACCATGGTAAGCATTGTTTTTTGTTTCGTTCATGATGTTCTTTACACGACGGTCTTCGTATTTCGCTGCCGAAAATGCCCGCCACAGCTCATTTTTTCGGGCAACCCTTCTGATCCTCCTCAATGTTATCCACATTCACGAACTCACATATCTTCAGGCCCATTTTGGCAATATGGGTGTTCATGTGTGTGACCTGGTTACTGGTAAGTCTTATGATCTTTGCTTCCCTCTATGATGCATTTCTACACGACGGTCTTCGTACTTCTCTGCCAAAACCGCCCGCCACAGCTCATTTTTGTCGGGCACCTTTCCTGATCCTCGTCTGACAATTAATGGCTTGCTAAACGATTTCACAGGCTTGCGTTGTGCGTATTCTACAAGCTGGTTTTGCCATTCCCTCCCGTTATACGATGAACTTCATAAAATTATCAACTAGAAGCTGTTGCTTAGCTCTGCATGTGCAGGGCGTTGATTATAACTCTTAGACCTGACTTTCTGTTTCGTTGTGCGGCGGAGACTGGCTTGCTAACAACCTTCCCTCAGTCCCCATGCCCGTCGTACAAAAGTGATGGTTGCGAGCGAAGCGAGCAATCATCGACTAAGGGCTGCCAGCGCGCACAAAACAAGAACAAATTCTAAGGACTTTTGATGGGAGCTGGGGCAAGATTGTTGTGCCTCATACTCATTCAATTGTCCACAGTTCTCTCTGAAACTTGGCACACGAGTTATAGTACTATGCTTCCTACAGAATATCAAGTCCCATCCATAACAATGGAGAATTGAGCCCAGTCGAACTGCGCACCAAGCACCGGCCTATGCTCAGCAAATTCTCCTCCGTTTTCTTTGGGAGTTGCACAGTAAGATGCCGGGTGTCGTATACCTACAATCCTAGACTTTGAGAGGTGTTACGCTGAGTGCTCTCTCTGCCGCTGGAACTCCAGGCTTTGCCTGCCGCCTTGCCACCAACCGGTCACGTGGGATATTGTGATCAGTACCAGTTGGAGCGTACAAGTGATTTTGCACGTAGATATCCCCAATAGATCTGAGTTTAGTGTAAAAATGTGACTAGGTAGTCTTCGAAGCGAGCATCCAGCGCCTCTTGCGCGATTCCATTTTTGATTATTACGATTTGTATCTATTAGCAACGTAATGTGAATGCGTTCGCTCGCTTCGGTCGACATTTTGCTGTCTACGCTGTCTACTTCGTCATGGCTAAAGTCGATTCGTATCATGTCCCGAAGGCCGCACGCCGTCCGACACGATACGGTTTGGTTCTAAGTCTCGTCTCTGTTACTCTGATATCCTACTTTGCCTATTCGCGCGAGAGTTACACGGTCTGCTCTTCAACGCACTCGATCTACATTGTGGATGAAGTCCGTCCGACTGCCGAATGCATCTCTGTGCACAAAGGGAGGATATCTGCCGTGGGGAGTATGGGTGAGTGGATGCTTGAGCGCGAACAGCTCGGTCTGGAACGCGTTCAGGCATGGTACAACGGTTCATGTATCCTCTGGCGGTTCGGCTCCTGGAACCAGGGCAGATTATCGTGCCCGGCTTCTCAGGTGGATTCAGTTCTACCAATCGCGCGCGACCCCTCGTTGATACCGTGAAAAGATGCGCATGCGCATTTTCTGCAGCAAGGTTACAAAATGCAGCTCCAATTGGACAATGCAAAGTCTGTCGAGGAGGTTGTTGACAGAATCAAGACATACATCAATGCACACCCCGAGGTGAAGGAGGATAAGACTCGCTGGATAGAAGGAATGGGTTGGGACCAGACGAAATGGGCTGGCGCGTCGTTCCCTTCAGCTGTGAGCTATGATCTACGCATCCTATGGTGCCCGTCCAATCTCTCATGCAACGCAGGCGGATCTTTCCAGAGATCCATTGCTCGCAGGACGGCCGATACATCTGCTAAGAGTCGACGTTCACGCCGCCTGGGTGTCCGAGCGGTAAGTTATCGCTGAGTTCGATCCAGCTGTGTTCAACTGAGATACTCATTGCCAAGGGTTCTCGAACTGATAGATCCTCTTCCCGCTGACGGAGATGTGGATGGTGGGATCATAGTGCGAGATGGATCGGGCAAGCCTACTGGTGAGTACTAGTACATTCAAACATGCTCGTGGATGACCTCGTATCAGGAATCTTCGTGGATAACGCCATGGCGCTTATCCCCAGTCCCCCATGGGCCCCGGATCAATATTCCCAGTTCTTTGAAACCGTCGCCGCAGAGGCGCTCAAGTTCGGTTTAACTACCATTCACGACGCAGCCACGGATCCAGTTTCGGTCGCATTTTTCAAACAGTAAGATAACATGCGGCCTCTCATAGAATGTGTTTCACCGTTCCCAGAGTCGCCGATTCAGGAAAGCTCCCGGTGAGCTTGAAGGGCTGCGTGCCTTTCACTGATTGTTGACTTGCCCGACTCCAGCTCCGACTGTATTTGATGGCTTCACCAGCTGGCGAAAACTTTACGAACTGGGATCCTATGAAGGTTGAAAAACTGATCAACTACGGTCCTCAAGAACGACTGACTTTGCGAAGCGTCAAGCTCTTCACAGACGGTCAACTCCATCGTGATGCGGTCGGCGATCGAAACTGAGACTCCCGCAGGCGCACTGGGATCATGGGGCGCTGCGCTAATTGAGCCTTACGCTGATCAGCCAAATATGCGTGGAATTTTGCGAAGTCCACCGGAAACCATGGACGGTTTCATTCGGGATGCTTGGAATGCGGGACTCCAAGTGGTACGCGATCTACTCCACCGCTGCAGTGTCACATACCCACTTCGCATTGCAGAATGTGCACTGTATCGGTGATCGGGCAAACCAGGTTGTGCTGGACATATTCGAAAAGCTTCAACTTGATAGTGGAGTCTCCGTTGCCGACTACCGTCCTAGAATCGAACACGCGCAGATCCTGCAGACATCAGACTTGATTCGCATCGGACGGCTTGGAGGTCAGTCCGCTGAAGGTCTATCTTGCCATTGGAATGCTGAACCTAGTCGATGTAGTGATCCCAAGCGTGCAACCGACACATGGGTGTGCATCCTTCTCTTGCTTCCGCTGCTTGTCGCGACTAATCTTGCGACCAGGACGAGCGATATGGGCTACGCGGAGTCCCGGCTGGTGCGTGCCTATGACACAGTGGCTATCCTGGCGTTGACCAGTCATCCCTCAAGGGCCCGGAACGGATCAAGGGAGCATATGCATATCAGACGCTTCTGCAGTAGGTCGCGCTGCCGTTTCTGAGGTCCTGATCCAGTGACGGTCTCGTAGATCTTCGCCCAAGAAAATTTTGCCCCTGGGCTCAGACTTTCCCGTAGAGGGAGTGAATCCACTGCTGGGATTCTATGCCGCTGTTTCCCGTCTCGATCCGGACGGCAACTCGCCGCATGGCCCCGGAGGATGGTTCCCTTCAGAAAGATTGACGCGCGCTCAAGCTCTCAAAGGAATGACACTGGATGCGGCGTATGCGTCCTTCTCCGAGGGTGATCTCGGCTCTTTGGTCGTTGGAAAGCGGGCAGACTTTGTGGTACTCGACCGAGATATCATGACTGTCGATCTAGGAGACATTTTGGATACGAAAGTGGTGGCTACTGTGATCGACGGGAAGGTGGAATACGGTTCCATCCCCTCCTGGACCGTCGCACAGTTGCTGCGCGCCTATGCTGCCCAGAAGTAGCTGTACATACATACACAACTTGCGGACATGCGCATCAGATGCGAGTGGCGATGCCATTTCGTCGCACTTACTTGCAATTGACTTCCATGGCGCTGGTCAAACGCGCCAAATCCAAATCCTCGGACTCGGACGACTCTCACGGGCAAACGGATGACACTAACGAGGACTCGGTCGAGACGGCTTCGGCTCTGCACGCTGAGAAGAAGAAACACAAGGTGATACTCAACACAAGTCCTTCTATTACCACAACTCCTCCAACACAATGTAGAAATCACGACCTATAATAGCCTACAAGCGTTTTCTGTTCCCGTTAGGCCTTATAACAGGTGCCCTTATCGCGTTCGTGCGTATACAGACTGTACTGCGTGAAACCATCTGACGGGGGATGCCATACCAATACTCGACAGTCACTTATCGAACCGCGCGACATCCAAGACTTGCATGCACATTTGACGCTTCTCCTGGGCGAATACGATCTAGCTTTGCCCAATATCCCTGGACTGGATCTTTCTGCGCTTGAAACGGAGTGGCAGCGGTTGAGGAGCAACATCCCGGAGGTCTGGAAACTGAGTACGGACGGACGCGAGTTTCAGGTTGGAGAGGCCATGAAAGAGCGAAAGTTGACTGCGCAGTTTCCTGTCGTGCTGATTCCGGGCATAATATCCACAGTGCGTCGCCGTCTCTAGCCGAATGTGCCTTCCGAGTTTACTCGGATGTATAGAGTTTGGAATCTTGGTCTACGGAGCCCGAGTATCGGCCTTTCTTCAGGCAGAAGATGTGGGGTGGGTTCAGCATGCTTTCTCAGGTCACCTTCAACCGCGACAAGGTACCACACGCGTCATACCCTAATTAAATACATACTGAACAGTGGCTCGCCCAGTGGATAAATGCCATGCTGCTCGACCCGGTTACAGGTCTTGATCCGCCCGGTGCCAAGGTTCGAGCAGCCGAAGGGATAGACGCAGCAAGTATGTTCATTCAGGGATACTGGATCTGGTGTGTGGACTAATTTCAAATTCAATTCTTGACCCGACGATCGCAGGTCCAAAATCGTAGAGAATCTCGCTGTTGTGAATTACGACACCAACAATCTTTACCTTGCACCCTATGACTGGCGGCTCTCATTCTCGAATTTGGAAGAACGTGACGGTTATTTTTCGCGGATCAAGACCACCATCGAAAGCTTCAAGCGTCGGCAAGGCAAGAAGACGGTTATCGCAGCCCACTCCATGGGGTGCAGCGTATGTCGTTGCCTTAAAACATTCGCCGGTCGCCGCTCATGAAATCCTCTTTGGCAGGTGTTGCTGGTATGTGGTTGCCTAGTTATCTCGACGGTGAATTGAGCCATACTAGTATTTGTTCGTCTGTCTACTTGCTCTTTGCCCCGCTTCGAGATATTGACAATCAATTCAGCTTCAAATGGGTCGAATCCCCTGCCCATGGCGCAGGTGGACCTACCTGGGTTGAGGTGCGCATCACTTGGCCGTGATTTTCTGCTTGCCGTTGCTGACGTCGTACCAGGACCATGTCGAGTCATATATTGCTATCTCTGGAACCCATTTGGTGCGAAGGACGAGTGATCGGCGAGATCCAGACTGAGCTTTTTGCCAGGGCGTTGCAAAGGCCATGACGGCATTTCTGTCTGGTGAAATGAAGGACACCGTCCAGATGAATCCTGCTGGAGCCTACGCTTTGGAGCGCTTCTTTTCTCGAGCCGAACGACAGAAATTGTTTCGATCGTGGGCTGGCAGTGCCAGTATGTGGGTCAAAGGTGGTGACGCAATCTGGGGCGGACCAGACGGTGCACCAGACGATGAGGTCAACTGCACGATGACACATGGAGAGCTGATCGCATTCAGAGTACAACCTCCTCCGCCTGGAGTAGCTAGTAGTGGACTGGGTGTAGATGAAGGGGACAGGAAGAACATGACTGTCGACACCGCGGGATCCTGGATCTTGCAGCACACCCCGTCTTCATTTCAGGTTCTTCGCTGCGCTCCTCGAGTAGTGACATGGCAGCTGATCATCGGACAGAAAATGATGGCCACCAACTTCTCAGTTGGGATAGAACGAGACGAAGAAGTCCTGAGGAAGAATAACGAAGATCCGACAAAGTGGTCAAACCCACTCGAGGTCCAACTTCCCTTGGCTCCTTCGATGAAGGTATATTGTGTATATGGTCATGGAAAGGTGAGTTGAATGTTGATATAAACCAAGTCGACGTCTGAGCCGTTATAGGAAACGGAGGCAAGCTATTTCTCTGTAGCTGATTTTTTTTTTGACAATCTGCAGCGTTCCTACTGGTACACACAAGCGCCTAACGAGTATGACGAGGCCGCCGAGAATGCCTTTGGGTCTCAGCCGCTCTGTGTCGATGTTGGGGGTGAAGCTTGTCAGGCCAACACCGGGTTGCCTGTGGAAGCACCTTTGATCAGGAAGAGCTGGATCGACGCCGAATACAACGATGAGAACGTCACTCCCAAGATCCGAAACGGGGTCATGATGGGGGAAGGCGACGGCACAGTTAACCTTATCAGTTTGGGTGCCATGTGCGTCGAAGGCTGGAAGCGTCCTCGCTGGAATCCTGCCGGCATAAAAGTCACTACAGTCGAAGTGAGCGGAGTTGTCTTATTTTGAGCTGCTCTCATTCCTTCCAGCTTCCTCATCAACCGGTTCTGAACATGCCCAGAGGAGGAGCCAACACAAGCGATCATGTGGACATTCTGGGCTCAACCGGACTGAACGAAATCATCCTCAAGGTGGCCACAGGGGTCGGTCACGAGATTGAGGAGCGCTTTGTCTCGAACATCAAAGAATATACGAGTCGGATGCGCTGGGATGCAGATTAGACTAGAGTATAAGTCTTGGTGTAATTGGTCATGTGTAATGTATCCATCACGTGGTGTCTTTCGACACGGTCCACGTGCGTATTGTTGTCACCTGTTTCGCCTGTTGACGACCAGAACCATGACCTCTCCCCGGACGCTGGGGACCTCGTCGCCGCGCCAGGCGAGCACGGCGTCTCCTCTCCGAGACAGACTACTCTCAAACTCCCCCGACCCAGTCAAGAATCAAATCCTCCGGGACTCTGGCCTCGGCTGGTCAGACAGTCCGCAAAACAGCACCCCCACATCCCCCCTGCGTATCGCTAAGCGCGACTCACCTTTACGTCGATTGCCTCAGATCCAAGTCGCCCGTAGAACATCATCCAGCTTCAAGCATGTAAAGAACAACAATCTTGTCTCCAAATCGCCGTTCAAGTCTCAGATCCCCACGCCTGCCACTGGGGGTGTTCCAGCGCTTCCCCGCCCGCACGCTTCTCCCACTCGCCGTGTCTCCGGCGAGAAAAGGCCTCGGCCGCAGAGCATTCATGATCAGGCGGAAGCAGAGAACGACAGACCGTTCTCATTCAAGCGAGAGAGGCGCCAATCCAAGACTTTTGAAGGGCTCATCCAGAAGGAGCCAGTCACGAAGAGCCCCTTCCGACAGCTTGAGCCCGGATGGAAAGGACCTGCTCAGACAACTCCAGTGCCCCCGGTGCCACAGACACCATCTCGCATCCCAGTGCCTGCATCGGCGTCCACGACTTCAGCATCACCGATCCGCTCTTCCCTCGTAACCAAGCGTATGCATGGACCCCGCTCGAGTGGCAATCTACGCCGTGAACAAGAGCGTCGGAAGACCGTCACCTTCAACGAGTCGTGCGATGTTGTTGAGTTCGACCCGCATGAAGATGGCACCCCGGACACGACCATGTCCAGTGTCGATCAAGATTTGGACCAAGAGGATGACGATACGGAAGACTTCTTCGCTCCCGAACAGGAGCAGATTCCTCCGCAGCACGAGTCGTCATACGAAAGCATCGACCTGTCCGACACTTCGCTGTTGCCGGAGACCTCGCTGCCGTTGGAACTGGACCCGGACACGAGCATCACGGGTCTTGTTGATGCAATGTTCTCATCAAATGAGGCGGCTGTGACTAATACGCCACCAGGTTTAGGGTCTTCGTTCACGAGAACTTTTGCATACACACCAGACCACCCGACGGATCTCGACACTGAAGATGGCGTGCCATTTGGTCGGTCCCACCACGCGTCGCGGACTGCTGCGTTCCATCAAGAGCAGCACAATACGCCCCATCTTCCCCCCATTCCACAGCCCCAACTTGGCAGTCGCCCTCTTCCATTCCCTGAGCACCCGACCGCCCACACCCCGCCTCGACATCCTCGCGATCCACTCGAAACGCCGCCGTTGGGGCGGTCGACTCACTTTGAACGTCGTCATGCAGTCACACAAGAGGAGGCAAAGATTGCTCAGGAAGATGATGACGTCGCCGCACTCCCTGGATCCCCTTCTCCAATGAAACCTCATCAGACCAGTGTCGTCGAGATTGGACTGACGCGGTTCTCGCTGCCTAGCGGTATGTCTCTCAGGCTTATCCCAAATCTCAGCTCATTCTTCTAGGTGGGGGCATGGACGAGAGCCCTGATCCCTTCGCTATGCCCAAGCTCCAAGATGAACCGTTGCCAGGAGAGGACAGCCGTGAGATCAGCATAGGTCGCTCGGAGGCAAGTGATGTCCGTTCCAGCTACTTCAAAGACTGACGGATCCCAAGGTCAACGAGATTCTACGCAGTGCCAGCGCCAGTCCCATGCCAAGCCCCAGCCGTAGCCTGCGTCCTCGAATCAGCCGAGAAGATGTGCAAAGACGGCTTTTGCGTGCTAGAAGTACTAGTCCGGAAATCGACATCGAACAACCCGTTGCGCAGATGGAGACTGTTGAAGAGCAAGACAGTGTTCAGGAGAGTGTCGAGGAGGAGGAGGAATCGCACAGGGACGAATCACAGGAGCAAGCGGATGACTCGTTCATGTCAGCGGAGGATGAATTCAAAGAGGAGCGGGAAGCCGAGGCTGAATACGAAGCTGCCATGTCCCGGGAGCAGGAGGAACGGGAAGGTAGTGCGAGCACGGAGATCGGAATCGTTGGAGTGGCTGAGAAGCGGCTGCTCTATGATCTCCCTTCGACTCCAACTTTCCAAGTGCAGGCCCCGTCACCGCCTCATCACTCGCTCTCGCCGCCGATCGAGTCCGAGCAAGAATTGGGTCTGAACCTGGGGCTGGATTTCGGCAGTCGTTTTGGCTTGGGCAAGCTGGGTATTACTGGCTTGGGAAATGGCAGCGTCAACTCGCAAGATTCGTTGCAGGCTGCCGAGCGACTCGAACCGGAGCGGATGGCTGTTGATATGGACATGCGCAGTGCGCTGGATCGCTTGATGGACGATGTCGCCAGTGTTGGTGGCTCCTCAGTTATCGAACAGCAAGAAGAATCTATGCGCACCGAGGACACTCTGCCTGACGACTCTCTCGAACTCCCTCAAGGCCATCCAGTCGCGCGAGCGGCGACAGATTCAGTGCTCGATCTGCGGCACAGTGGGAGTAGTGCTTCGTTGTCGTCCATTCCACCTCCGGTGCCGCCGAAAGACAACATCCGCTCTAGGGAGGCGCTGATCTTGGAGAAGCGACGCGAATTACGTCGGCTTGACGAAGATGACTACGAAGAAGCTCCTCAGCGGCTGGCTGTCGGCCGACCCAGTGCGCGCCGAAGCATGAGCACCGGGGATGTGGACGACATAACTAAATTACGTGCCAAAGAACTGCTCGATCTCAGCAAAGAAGATCTGTTGGGGGCTAGCATTGAGAAGGCTTTGACGAGGCCTGAGGAACCTCGCAAGCCGGTGCGCGGAATTTTGCTCGCATTTGATGCATTGCTTACGCCGCCCAGAAATACCATGTTCATGAGCACGAAGAGATGATCTATGCGTCGTCATCTGATCAAGAGCGCATCTCTCATTTGGCTGCCGCCGGTGACATCAATGCGGGCAAAGCTTGGAAGACTGTTCGCCGTCCCTCAGACATGGTGCGTCGTCCTTGGTGATTTCTATCTTGCCAATAGGCTAAATATCATTCAGAACGAGTATTCCAAGCAAATCAAAGAGTACCGTGCCATGCAAGATCCGGGCAAAGCATGCGGCAAAGTTTTTGTTAAAGGCCAGTGGATGCACTTTTTAGCGCGCCGCCATGTTGCTGACGTATTGTACAGTTATCGGAGTGAAGGGCATGCATCTTCCTCTCCCGAATGAGCCCACGGCGGTGACGTGTACACTCAATAACGGGATCCATTTTGTGACCACGCCCGAAACTGCGCTTGGGCGGGAGACGAGGATCGAGCAAGAGTTTGAGCTGTATGTGATGTTTAGTAGAAGCTCCCAGAGACCGCTTCCTGACGTCATGCAGCATCGAAAGCGCGAAATTGGAATTCACCATGTCGATCAAAGTCCGGCGAGACCCTCATATTATCTCGCAATTCCGAGCACTGCAACCGGCTCCAGCTGTGATCGCACCGGTTGCACCAGCCCGTCCGCCGCCTGTTGTCCAACAAACTTCGTCGAAGAGCGGTTTGCGCTTCTGGGCCTCTTCGCCGAAGAAGAAGGACAAATTGATTGCTGCAGCGCCACCCCCGCGACCCATGGCACCTGTTGCTGCTGCGGCACCGGCCAGGTTACCTGAGAATCTTGCGCGATATCTTAAGCCTGATGGGACGCTGGCGCGTGCGTTTGTTGCCTTCAAAGACATTGCGTCCCGGTGTGACACGCGGTTATTCGAGACGAGCTTCCCGTTGATTGGGCAGCGCACGGAAGTGGGTGGTAAGACATCCACGCTGCAAGTCGGCGAGCTGGTCCTGCAGATCCTGCGACTTCCACCACTGCCGAGCATTCCGCAAGAGCAACTGCCCCAGAGCCTGGATGAATGTCTCCGGGGCCTCCGACATATCAATTGGCACAAGGTCACCTATTTCCAGGGCACCCTCACCCAAAACGGGGGGGACTGCAGCGTGAGCTATTGGCTTGTGCACGTACGTCGTCGGTTGTTGATCAGTTTTACCAGACCTGGCGGAGGCGGCAATTGCGTGTGATCGGAAGCAAGTTGGTCGCATTCAACGACGTTACGAAACGAGCGACTGCGACGATCGATCTCAGCAAGGCTATTGCAGTGGAAGACAACCAAACACCCCGCGGACCGCTCAGCCCGGCATCTGGAATGTCGCGTGTCAGCCAGTACGACGAGTACGATGGCTTGTGCGGTGTCGAGCGGTCTTTCCGTCTCATCTTCCCTCACGAACAAGAGATCCTCTTCTTTGCTGATTCTGACGAGGACAAGGCCAAATGGTGCGCGGGCTTCTATGTACTGAGGGACATTCGTTAACATGGCACAGGTTGGAGGTCCTCCGGGCTCTGGTTGGGCATATACCGCCTTATCCTTTGTGGGGCGAGCTACTATGGCAACGGCAAGAAGACTTGAGACGTCGACCGGCCTGATATGTTATGTCCCTTTCTCGCTTTCTTGTGCGCTAGGCCTCTATGCTTTCGAATATCTTACAGCCATCCTCTTGTACTTTAGTTATCCCGTATGTATATGCGACCAGTCTCCATAATAGATCTGGTTTGAAACACCACCTCGGAAGATGGGATTCGTCTCATGGCGTTCGCTTCCATCAATTCTCTTATGCGAGTTGGTTGGGAGACCCAGGCCCCAGACCGCATCCAGAGCCAGGTGATCCACAAATCGCTGCGACCAATCAATGGAGTTGGTGATCCCAGCCTTGAGGGCCCTTGAAAATCGGAAGGAAGCCACGATTTCTGGCGAAGGCTCGTGGGATTGGCTCAGCTGATAGACAATTTGGAACTCATCCTTTTTGTAGGTGACACAAACAAGGCACGAATACGCCAGGAATATGCGGGCAGCCTGTACACAACCTGTTAGATTCAATCACTCAAGTTTGTATTATGTGTAGTTGATTTATCTCTCATCGAATCGTAGTCTGGACGAGTTGGATGAATTGTTTGACCGTGTAGGTCCAGGTGCGGTGCGATCAACAGGACGCAGTCTTCAAACAGTTACTATGGCATATGGTATCTGCTAGAGAAAAAGAACAAAAACCGTTCATCCTAAAGCCTGCCTCCGAAATGAAATCTCTTTGTGCTGGATCGCGTTTCATCCGGGTGTCGCGTGGTCATTCGAGAATCGTTCAGTGCAAGAGTTGAAGTTCAACTCAAAGGCCGCAGATTGTTTTCGGTCGAACGTTGAGATACTGTAGCTCTCCTCCGACCCCCGACGTCGCTATTTATGGCCACAGACTGTAACTTGGAACCCGACAACATAGAGGGTGTTCTAAATCACACCGAAATTCTCATTCGCAGGGCGTATCCAGTGTTACCACGATGCGTTGTGTGGGGCAGTAGTGTCGGAGATAATTCGGGAACCCGGGAACCCAAAAATCTTCTTCGTTGAGCACATTTAGAGTGCATCACGTTTCGACGGAACACATCTTTCGCATTTCCGGGTGAAGAGAGGCTTGAAAGCTCAAAAACGTGCTCACAGACGTCCTGGGCGCTTACAGAAACCCCGGTAGCTCCACACGATTTCATGGAAGGTGGACTGCATGATAAGCGAGGCAACCCAGGGAGCACTGATCGGTGACCGGCCCGCTCCGAGGCCCCATGCAGCTTGTTAGCGCGCGGTGATGAGATCACTCGCGAATGTCTGACTTAACGAGGCAGACCAGCCCGAGTCGGATATCCCATTCCCCATGAGCCTGGAGAATGCTGTGACGGCCCCGATGTCTACGTTGAACGCAGACGAGGCCCTTGCTGTGGTCATCAACTATCGAAGCTCTCGTGCGTCTATCTCAACGCCATTCGCTGTTTCTGTGTCTCGACCTGACGCACTTACAGTGGCAGCTCTCGTGTGGGTGTTATACGATATTTGTATCACATTCGACCAGGAAGTTGCGCTGATCTGGCCGTGAGACCAATCTCTGCTCACTTTTCCCTCATTGATCATCGGCCTTCAGAAAACCATGGTCGCGCATGAAATTCTTGTATCTGTTCATCCGATACGTGCCCGTCTCTATCCAGCTGTCTGTGCCGTCCGTTCTGCCATGCGCGTGTCTGATACCCATGTCTGCAGCTCGATTGTGATCCCCAGCTCGCCAGAACTGGTATCTACTCTGCATCTCACTCCTCACGCTTGCTATGTGTGGAAGATGTACCAAGGCCTCGCGACAATCATGACGTTCGCTGCGGTAGACTTCGTGCTGATTCTGAGAGGTGATTACAGCTCCCATTCACGCGCTCAACTTGCATCTGATTTGGTGTGAGTATATGCGCTGTGGACACATAGCAGGCCTGTCCACTGGATTGTGGCGGGCGCCTTCGCTCTCGATCTAGTGGCCATCACCACCGGCTTTGCATTGATGATGAGGGGGGTCTCATTCGACAATATGTGTCTGCCCATCGCCGTGCCAAACCCGGTCCTCTTGGGTGTCTTTTCGTGATGGGTCCCGCCACTCCAGCATTGCTGTTGTCATCTAACGCGTTTGTAGTGGCACTCTGCTGATATTCCAAACGGTTCTGTTCGTGCTGACCGCCATCCGTTTCGTGCATGCCGTACGGCAAGGCTGGGGAGACAGTCCCCTTGTCGAACTCGTCATGCGAGATGGGGCTTGGGCCTTTGCGGTGTTGTTCGGTTCGTGGTCGCCGGAGATCTGTGCTCGCTCGCTGAAACCTCATTCCCGAAGCTATCATTGCCAGTGTGTCCGGGCTGTATATATCGAGAAGCCCACTTGCTGAACCTGTTTTCGGGTACGTGGGTGCAGGCAATCTGTGTTGTGTGAGCATATAGCTGATATCTCTCAGTTGGTTACTGTTGGTCTATGCGTTTTGTGTAAGAATCATTCACCCTCTTCGCGGCGTGTGGGCTAGACTCGAGTTCCAGGGATACCGCGTTCTGCTCAATTTGGAGCGGCTCGCGGCACCGAGGATGTATGACAACCGAACTGTTTCGGAGGATCGGAGAATGCAATTCACGACAAGACTGACCAGCCGATGTACCGCAGATGACACGGTGTCTGCGGATGCATACGGGCTGCATTCGATCTGAGGCGAGAATGGCCGTCGCCGTGTTTAGTCCGTAATAAATACACATCTTACATATCCTCTGTCCCCCATTGGTAGCTCTCGTTCCCTTTCCGCTTCTGCTCGTTTCGATGCTGGAAAAGTTTCTTCTCAAATCCATTGCCCCGGTCTGGTAGTCGTCATCAATATCGGTCTTTGGTCTAGACAACGCGTGAGACGCACCGACCCCGTCCCATCTGTAGCCCGGCTTGATCCCAAACCTATTTGGGGCAGGAGTGGGGCCCGTATACTCTGGTCTCCTCGGTCCCTTCGCGTGTTTTTTCTGTACGATATGAGGCAAGCCAGATCGTGGGGAGGTAATTGAAACCGCACCGTCAAGAACTGCGCAGCAGGGTCATTCCATATCTCCTTCGACTTTAGCTCTGCGTTGAGCTCCGCGTCGTCCGCATGTCGTGCGAACTTGGAATTGCGCTGCTTCTCCAGCTCCTGCTTCCGTTTCTCTGCTTCGTCACGTTGCACTAGACCCTTGCCCCACTCCATCTTCTGCGCCTCTTTCTCCTCCTTCAGCCGCTTGAGCCTAGCCGCCTCCGCTCTTGCGGCCTTGGTGTCTATCTTCTTCCCGGACGAGTCTCGATAGATGGTTTCCTGCGCCAGGGCTATTTCCTCGGCACTCTCGTCCACAGCGTTGTTGGTTCGTGAGTTTGGCAGTGCTTTACTCAGTTGTTTCGCAGACAAAAGCCCGCCTCGGAACGGTGTCTCCTCCTCGTCGACGATTTGAGGCTGCTCGTCCGGCAAGGGCACATCCTCCTCTTCGGCCTTTGCAGGTTGGACTATCGTCGCCCAGCCAGATGCTTCCCCACCCGAAGCCACTTTACGCTTCTTGAAAGAGCGGTCCGAAGCGACTACCGCGTCCTCGATATCGTCCTTGTCTTCGTGCGCTTGGTCGCCCCATCCTCCGTCGACGTCGATCACAAACGAGGTCGACGGAGCGGGCGCGTCGGACCCCACTTTTCGCTTCTTCTTCTTGAGTGGTGCACTTTTGGCGAGGATGGCGTCGGCCTTGGGGCCTGTCATATACTTTTCAGCAAGATACGCCTTGAGATTCGCCATGGCCGAGGATGAGGAGGTACGATCACGTGTTTCATTATACAAGTACAAATACAACTAAATGTCTAGTGACCGTGACCATGTTCGTGACCGTGTTCGTGACTGTGTTCATGTTCGTGACTGTGTTCATGGCTGTGGATGTGTGAGTGGATATGGGAATGCGTATGTTCGATGTGATGGTGGCGGTCACGCTTAGCGTTTGGCCCGCCCTTTTGAGTGTTCTGCTGTATGTCGCCGCCCAAAAAGTTCGAGCTGTCCACCACCTTCCCGTCCGGCTCCTGCTGCCTGTCGAGGTGGGCCGTCTGATACTCGGCGCTCGGGCGAGTCCCAGTCAAAGCCACATCGTCGTTTTCAAATCCATCCTTGTGCTTCTCAGAGTGCGTCTGGAAAACATCCGCATCGTTCTTGTCCACTTTCTTAACGGCTGGCGATGCACCCAACGCCGTGTCGTCCATCTTTCCAGCCCGATCACCGAAAGATTGGTCGTCGCCAGCGTTTATGATTGTGTCAAGGGGGTTCACTATGGTTTCGAGCAAGTGCCTGCGCTGACCGAGCGTGTTCCGATCGATGGGAATATGCTCAAGGGGTTGCGGAACCGCGTCCCGAGATCCTAGGTCAGCCAACTGCGTCGAGAGTAGCTCTGAGGGCGAAGTCGCATCGCCGAGGGAGTCAACGTCTTCAACAATAGGCTTGATATTGCTCTCGTCGCGTCTAACGTTTGCGGGGAGTGTCTGGGGAAGCATCTGCTTCACCGGCAAGTCGCGTTTCGGGAGTGAGGTGGGAACCTTGACAAGATTCGCAGCACGGTTGTTGTTAGATATGGCCTGAAGCACATCACCGACGGTTGAGGGAGCAGACGGAGGTCCAACACGTTTGGTCATTTTCTGAGAGGAGACGTGAAATGTAGAATGAGTTTGGGAGATGTAGCGTACCATCGATGACGGCTCTGCGGTCACTTCGACACCACTACGGGGCATATGGGGATCGATGACGACGCGTGGAAGATCACGCGGAACACGAAGGCCCTGGGCGGATCAGCAATAGGTCAGCGGCGTGAGGGAAAGCGCATACATTGGGCACCTCGACAGGGGCATCTGCGGGTAGAGAAACGGCAGATGCAGCAGCAGCAAAGGCGAGGAGGCCGAGGAAACGAGACTGGATGGCGACCATGGCGAGGAGGATGGAACAAAAGAGCGAGATAGAGAGTGTGGGTGTGAGGATAGATGAGATGGAGGTACAAGAAAGAATTAGATTCCTGGGCTCCAGTTGAATTTATACCTGTGGAAAGTGTGCTCGTTTATTTGGTCATTGATCTGTGCAAGATGAATGGCGGACCGCTGAACCGAGCAAGGATGAGTCTTCTACTAGATGCGCGAATGTCTTGGATAGATGGCCCGCCAGATCGTTGATAGGCCGATGATTTGAGCACGATCAGAGTCGAGCTCCTTGGTCGCATGGGATTATGCACTAGGACCAGAAATCGAGACAGCAGTAATTACAATCGGTAAGTCCAAATGCGTTCCGATGCTCACCACGTGACCGCGAAGTAGGGGCCATCACTGGACTGAACGAAACCGAGAACCGCACAGCATGAGAAGAAAACCTGGTCTGCTAGGACTCGAGAGAAAGGTGAGCATCTGGTAGCACATACCGTCGTCATTGTACACATGCCTAGGCCAAGCCGCAGCAGAAAGACCATAATTCTCATTGCTGCAAGCGGAATCCGTGGTATTACATCCAGCAATGGCGCGGCTTATGGTACAAGATGGTAGCTTGGCAGTGGGTTATACGGTCCTCCGATCGGTCATGGTTCGTACAATGCATCCAGTTCCCGCAACTTCGGTGAGCTAGCCGGATGTTAGGAGACACCTACAGCAGATATATCGGGCACACCTTTTCATGCCATCCCAAGAGTACACTTCCACTGATATCACCCCAACCAGGCATGGCCATCCCCTTGTATAGATATTTCATAAGGGTGTCTTGTGCGTCTTGGGAGAGTGCTTTGCACACGGCAGGGACTTCAGCGGCTTTAGTTGTGTTGAGGATGGTGAGGAGGGTTTGCAGAGTGACGGTCTACACGGAGGACTTCGATATCGAGTAAGAATACTGATGCTGAAATAGTACCTTGGCCTCTTCGACGTTAGGACCATACGGTGCATTGTCCAACACGATGTTCAGTGCACCCACGACATCACTCCTGAACGATAGACAGATCAGAGTCAATGCCTACAGGATAGGGCTGCGCATTACCGTGCAAGAGCACTGCGCACAGCACTCTGGCGCTGCTTTGCATCGTCGAGCACTTGAGCTGGGTCCCGCGGATCCGCATCAACAAGCTCCTCGACCTGCAGGACGTCCTCGTCGTAGAGGTCGATATCGATCTTGCGGAAAGCGTTGTCCATAGATGATGGCTGTGAGGATTCAAGTGTGTTTGTGCGTGCGATACCATCGACTAGTGCGTCAAAGCATGCTGACATCAGCTGCTCCCGAAACTTTTTCGCCATCCTCATGGCTTCGACAACCGTGCTTGTCGACCCAGCTACTGTCCTCGGAAAACGTAGAAGACCTCGATATCTTCTACAACTCACGTCTAGTCCTGAACCGCCGGCCCTTGCGGACGAACGACGCGCCTCAAGCTCGAAAACAGCTCCGCCAATCATCGTCAACGGGAGCCTCGTTCTTGCGTCAACCAAACGACGTTATCAATGCACGCATGATGGCTGCAATAAGGTCTATACCAAACCGTCGCGTTTAGAAGAGCATGAGAGATCGCATTCGGGAAATGTTGATAGTCCTCACGTCCTTGTCTGGCCCACCCATTGACCCTACCTCCAGCGTCCCTTCATTTGCGAAACATGCGACAAGTCCTATCTACGGGAAACGCACCTCCAAGCCCACTCTCGCAGTCATCTACCGCACTCGGAGCGCCCATTCGTTTGCACTGAGAGCAATTGTGCAAAACGATTCTGGACTTCTCAGCACCTTCGGACGCATGTCGATTGGCATAATGGAGCGAAACCATTTGAGGTGAGGGCCCCAATTCCGTGTGTGCGTTGTTGCTAAGCAAGGCGTACAGTGTTCAGAGGACGATTGTCACCAAAGTTTTGCAAAACATCATCAGCTCCTCTCACATAAGTGCAGCGAACATGCGCCACCCGGTTCGAAGCCCCACCGCTGTAACCACAAGGGATGTATCCAATCCTTCTCAACAAATCAACATCTACGAACCCACGCAAAGGTTCATAATGGTAAGCGTTGCAATGGTGACCTTCAAACAATCAACTCACAGGCTCAGTCAAACGATATACTTGCGCGCATCCCTCATGTATATCCTCGAATGACGAGTCAATAATCTACTTCCAGACTTGGACTGCATTGCAGCATCACAACCGGACTGTTCATCCTCCGACTTGTCCGTATCCATCTTGCGAAGGGAAGACTTTTACGGCTCAAAAGGGTCTTCGGGCGCATTTTAAGCTTCACGAGCAACAAATGATAGAGGCGGAATTGACTGGGGCACTGTCCGACGACGACGAACGTCCGCCAAAAAAGAAACGTCGAGGAGGGGAGGTTGGACGGGACTGGGTTTGTGGGCGAGACGGGTGCTCTAAGGACTTCAAATCGGTGTGTTTCAGAGGCAATGTATGTCCAGGTTCTCATTATGTCTCAGAAAAAAGCCATGACCACACATGTGAACATCACACATCTGGGCCGACGGGATTTTGAATGCTCCCATGAAGGTTGTGATCAGAAATTTGGATACAAGCACCTCTTGCAGCGGCATCTCGCCAAGCACACAGCTCCGACATCTTCAAGTGACGATTCAGACGACACTTCTCCAAAGGCCCCTGATTTGACCATCGACATCGTCACTGGCCAGGCCTATGCACATTCTGCTGAGAAGAAACTCGAATCGTTCCAAGCAATCCAATGCCCCTTCCCAAAATTGGACGGCCTAGGCCTTGTTCGGGTGTCCCGTAGCAAATTGACATGCGCCTACGTCTTCAATCGTGCATACGATTTCCGGAGACATCTGCAGTCTGCCCACGATATCACCGTTGAAAAAGATGTTGCCACCTCCTGGGTTCAACGACACCGGGTTTCTCTCTTAGCATAGGTCTACTGTGTTGAATGTATTGATGTGTAATAATCCATCATGCCGTCGTTTGAATCCAACCGATGTATTCAGGCTAGTGCGCGGCTTTAGGTCGCGTCTTGAGCGACTTGTTCGTCGTAGCCGTCTTCACGCTCGAGGGCGTCTTGACACTCGGATTTGCTGCAACTCTTGCTGCCTTGGCCTCAGCCGAAGCGACTTTCCTCGCAAACCCCTTGGCAAGCCCCGGATTTGCCGCCTCCCAGCGCTTTCTCCGCTCCGCTCTCGCTGCTAACCCAGCCTCCTCCTGCTTCCCGTGCGCGATCTTCGCCAACGCTTTCTTGACCGACAAAATAGGCTTCATTGCCTCGCTGCGTTCCTTCGCCTTGAGCGCCAGCCGCTTCGCAGTGAGTCTCGCCCGGTCTGCCCTGACTTCCTCCCGCTTCCGCCTCAGTTTCTGCTTCGCCCGCTTCATGTGCGTAAAGTCATACGCGACGCGCCGTTTTTCCCGTAGCCTGTCACCCGAGCGTCGCTGCGGCGAGTTGCGAGTCGGGGGCGCTGTCGCGGCGCGCCACAGCCAGATGAGAGACGGGGCAGACTGCGGAACAGACTGTACGACTTGCTGCTTCGAGGCCTTGGCTTTCGGGACATCGGGGACTGCTCGGGCTTCTCGGACGTGCTTGACGAGGCGGTCGCCTTCTACTATGGGAAGAATGTGGTGCTTGAGAAAACTGCCCTCCCAGGATTAGTACGAAGGTGGAAACAAGTGTAGGCAAATGTAGACGAACGAGATGGAGCGCACGGGGTGTTCGGGGTGTGGGACAACAGGAGACGGGACCCTTCTCCGGGTACCTCGTTCGACGGTTGTTTCACGCTTTACAGGCGGAACAGACCCAAATAGGGCCTTGAACTCGTCAGAGGGCGTCTCCTGGAGTGCCAGTTTGTAGATTTCGGTGGTTTTGAGGCCGGCTTTGACTGCATCTCGGGCAATTACTTTTCGGACAATAGTGAGGCCTTCTCGAACTGCGGCCTTATGTTGGGCAATCTGTCCTGACCATGGAAGCGCCATGGCCATGCAAGGTCGGTGTCAATGTGCAGTGCAGTCCAAAAAGTTCTGATTGGATCTGATGTTTGTATCAACCAAACTACGATGCGTAGTATATGTCCGTAGTCAAGTTCCGAGAAAAGCGTATGTTCACTGCAATAGCCATCGCGTAATTCCCAAATACAAGTACAGGAATTATGGACTCAAGTATTCAATCTAACATGCTAGTTTATAGAGATGAGGGAGGCTACAGGGATACAGTCGTCAGAGCAAACGACTCGGAAACTTGAGTGATACAGATTCAGGTTGACCGCAGAGATGTCGGTTCAAGCCGTGGAGCAGTGCAGTTAATTAGGACGAGTGCTGTTGTATTCATGAAAGAGGGTATCAACAAAGGACTTGTTGGTCTGCAAAGGTGAAGCGTCAGATACATTTCTCGTGAGCCCGAAATTACTGACGTGAATGAGAGTTAGAACTTCTCGGATAAAGTCGTTTCTGTCAAGTTGTGGCTGACGCGCCTGCGCCTGCGCAGAGATAGCTGTGATGATAGATGCCCTGGCCTTGGCAGGGTCAAGCATTGGCTGAGGGTTTTGACCGTTGACGATGGCTCGAGCCGTCGCAGGCTCAGATTGGCCCGTTGCTTGTAGTGGTGCAGGGCGAATAGGCGAACCACCAGGCAGAGGACTGGCAGAGGCCGACCTCGACGAACAGGCGGACAGGACATGATTTTCTTGGCTGCGGACAACGCGTTTGCCCTTCCTGCGAGACTTCCCGCGGCGCCCAGTACCGACGTCTGGAATAGCCACTTGATGCTGCCTGCGAGAGGCGCGATGGAAAGCATCAGGGTCGCTCAGGACACTCGTGTCCGCAAAGTCAAGCTCCACGATGTCCTCGTCTTCGGGATGGTCCGGATGGGCGCCGTTTTCAAGCCAAATGTCAGATCCGCTGGCAAAATGTCCACTTCGAGACAAAGCGTCAGCTCGCACGGTGGAGGAAGATCCGCTGGTCGCGTCAACTAGAGCCGGAGGTACAGGGCGATGGCCATTAGCCAAAACAAGGGGCACCGGTGCTTTCGGTGTTACATCGCCATGAACGCGACCTTTGCCGTTGGAGTGAATCCCGTTCATTGTAGAAGGCCCGTTGGCAGGGAGAACCAACTCGGGCTGTCCAGTATTGGCATTAACAGCTTGCAGTTGCTCTTTGAGCTGGGCGTCCAGATCGAGGACGGTTGTGGACTCCGAGAAGCTGTCAGTTCCCTCACCTCCCGGCTCTTGGTTGTTGCCGGGTGAATCCTCGTATTCATTATCGCCCTCGCGCGAGGTGGTATGGGAGCGGGAGTCACTACGACCTGAGAAGGACGATGTCGACGCAGACCGAGAAGGTGGTAGGCCAAGCAGAGCCGTGATAACATCGTGGTTGAGAATTTGTGGTAAAGAGTGAACGGTCGGGGTTGGGGAATGAATAGTCAAAGATTTTGGTGGGGATAGCGGGACAACTGACGGAGCAGCAGATGCAAATATACTGTCAAGCAGTGGTATTCCACTTCGTGGCGCAACGGGTGATGGAGGTGCATTGCCACCCCCGACCGAAGCAAATAGCGAGTCAAGCGTCACCGACGAGCTCTGTGCTGGACTGGGCAGCGCGCCAGAGAGAGATCCAGATGATGAATTCGTCGTCAGCTTCGCAAGGAGTTTGCTCAGGTCAGAGGTAACAGTAGGCGTCTGTGCTTTTGCAAAAGAGCCTGGCCCAGCGTAAACAAGAAGCAAGATTGCAACATGAAGAAAACTCACGCTCAGAAACAGAGGGGGAGGAGTTGGTTGTTCGGAGATGGGGATTCGGGGGAGGTGGACGGCCAGGCCCGTATCGGAAGACGTCAGGGTAAGGCATATTTTGTTTAACATATGAGTGCAATCTGAGAAACAGTGAGTTCGAAAGTGCATACTCCCAATCCGACATACCGAATCATGACATCCATCATGGGTTCTCGAGCATCCGTGGGGAACATCCACAACCCAATCGTGCTGCCGCGTCCCTTGTCGGCGTCGGAAAGTGTGTCGAGATCGTAAACACGGAAAACATCCGAGAACTTGTCGAGAGGCTGTTCGTGAGTTCGATAGATTTGGGAGAGACGTCGATTCGTGAATTCGGGGTAAGATCGAAGCATAAGGTATGTGCCATGTAGACCTGAGATGTCTTCCGGATATAGACGTTGAACGTAATCCTCCATGCCCATACGATTGAGGATGTAAAATCCATAAGGTGGGTAAGAGTCTCTGCGTTTGAATTGTTGAGACTGCGAGCATCAGAACCTCCAATGCCACCACGAACCTTTCGTACAAAAACATGCTGCCCTCGTATCCATTCTTTTCCCATGTTTGACCGTTGTGATGGTATACACATACGTGAGTGAACTGGTCAAAAATCGACGTGATGGACGAGTCCCTCCTCCGCAGGACCTTTAGGTTGTGAGCGTATCGTGCTTCCTCGGACATTCCGAGGTTGGTGGTCTGGCCCTCAGTGGAGGGTTGGGGCTGATGCTGTTGGTGTGCTGGTCGAGGTCTTGGTGATGCAGTCGCCGTATTCAGCTGAGCGGGAGGGCCTGCATTGGCGTTGGAGTGGGCTCGGCGGCGAGCCATGATCAAAGGAGAGAATGAATGTTTGTGCGTGCATCGTTCGCGTTTGTGACACTTGTGCGTCACCGTGACCATACAGCATCATCCATGCAAACAACGGCCATAAACCGGCGGGCATGAGCAGAAAGAAGCGACAACAGCAGGTTCTCTCCAGTCTCAGCTAGAGGCTCTCTTTCTGGATGCTTGAGGCGAGCTCGCTGCGCTTGCTCACGTGGGGTCAGCAGTAAATCACGTGATTCAGTTGTCAAGTGAGGAGAATACGATCATTCATTTTGGACGGGGAGGAGAGCTGATTGCGTTCATTCTGTTACATAATAATATGTTATGCATGAAGGAGGTTCACTCCATGCTTCCCACTTGCTGTTCTTGAAGTCCTCGAGCCTTCAATTCGGCCTGTGTCTTCTCAACTTCATCTTGAACCCGCTCGATGGAGCGGAAATACTTAACCGTCTTCACGTGAAGTTCTGGGCGAAATATCAGTACTGGGAGAGAGATTTCAACGTTCAGGTTGTGCTACTGACCAGCAGTTGCGTCCTCGTCCACGACAATGAGTGCCCACGGATGCATTTGCAGTGCCGAGAGAGTCCACTAATTAGATATGATCAGGAATGTATTTGAAACTTGACGATTCGCTCACGAGATGATTGACACCCTCCTCTGTAGCAGAATTATCATTACCCAGTTGCAAAAATCGCCGCATCACTCACCGATGGCTTTGCTGAGTGCAAGGGCCTTGCGCTGCCCAGTGACGACCACAATAACCTCTCGGCTGTCGAGAACAGTGGCGACCCCGACCGTCAGAGCCATCCGAGGAACCTGGGTGATGTCGTTGTCGAAGAACCGAGCGTTGGCTAAGATAGTCTCGAACGCGAGTGTCTTGATACGAGTACGGGATGCCAAAGAGGAACCTGAGTACACGAAAGTTGAGCATGTAATCCCGGTAGATGATTTTTCCAAATACCTGGTTCCTGAGTAGTCGAATCATTAGCACCGGGGTCCCTTGAAGAGATGAATAACAAACATTGAATGCAATATGCCCATCTTCTCCGATTCCACCCAAGAATAACTCAATCCCACCGACGGCCTTGATCCGTGCCTCATAAGAGTTACACTCAGCGATCAGATCTATGGCGTTTCCGTCTACGGCAAGAGATATCAGTCGCGAGAACTACACGCTCAGCGATACTTGACCCACCGAGGATGTTGACCTGTGACGGAGGAATATCAACTGTGAGGGAGTGACCCTGTAGATCAGATGCGCATGACCAAGAGGTGCACTTACTGTGCGAGAAGAACTCCCGGAACATGAAGCTGCCCAACCAGTAAGTACTCCGTGGCACGGGGAACGAGCATTGAAACGAACGTGTGGTAGGATTCAGTATGATCGCGAGGCAAGCCAACATACTCGTCCATGTTGAAGGTGATGACATGCTTGAACCTGACGATGACTGATGAAAACGGGGACCGCTGTCGGGCGCGATGCATACGAGAGCTTCTCTGCTTGGACGAGCTTGATAAGAGCCTGCAGACCTTGCACTCAGCCTTCTTTCCAAGTCCTGACTGAAGCCACAGGCTGACCTTGTAGGTGGGAATGGGAGAAGATCCAGTCGGCAGACCGAGTACGAAAGGGCGATCGGCCGTCGGCGCGAAATCGTTTATACGCTTGCAGATATAATTCGCGATGTAGTCGCCAACAGCAGGGGGATCGTCACGGATGATCAGGCCTGGATTGTGTCAGGCGGAGATCTGCCATGCGTTGAGGTGCGTACGCATTGTGGGTAATGGGGGACAGAGGTGATGGAGCACTGAAGAGGCGGACCAGGTTCATCATGGAGCCAGACCGTATCATAGATAATGTCGTCGAAGCTTCGGCAATCTGCCAAAGTCTATCAACCCGTCTTCCGGGACTTCATCGATAGAGCTCGTCTTTCAGTCCGTGAAAAGTCTCGACGTTCGAATCCGCAATTGATAGGATAGTCCTGAAGAACTGGGGAAGTAGAAGCATCGCTTAGAGCACGGGTCATTGAGAGATGGCAGGTGCGGGTGATTTGATCAATTAGAACAAGATCTCCATTCGTTCCTCACATTCACATGTTACATGCGGGCTAGTTCTGGCCTGCTCCGCCCGCCCAGCCGCTGTATTCTTGACCTCCTTGGAACGAGATGCTGGGCCCCGGTACCCATAAAACGTCACGCTTCAACATCTAGCCCGACTGACCCCGAGCCGGGTGATGCTACGTGGCCGTATGAGCTTTTCACATCCTCCCGGATTATGGATCGCAAATCTGGCTTCCTGGCTCATGCGACTAAACTCCCGGATCCCTCCGCGCTTCCTCAACTGCTCAATCATCTTCGCGACATTCCGCGTCTCAATTGCAAACGTGCGACACATTGCATGTACGCTTTCCGTGCCTCCGGGACCGAGGGGCAGTCAGACGGAGGCGAAGGGGGGAGTGGCGATCGATTGGCGCGACTGTTCCATACCGAAGATGTAGTCGTTGTTGTGTGGCGATGGTATGGAGGTGTCAAGCTGGGTGCCGATCGCTGGAAGTGCATCTCTCAGGTGGCCAAAGAGGCTCTGGATGCCGGCGGTTTCCGTGGCCAGAAGGGAGCTGTGATCAAGAAGGGCAATAAAATACGGAGAACTAGATGAAAGGAATGCGACTACATCCTAGTCATTGACCCGCTCGTTCGATAGTATCTCTAACAGTTCGGATAGGCCATTCAAAAACACACTTGCCATCATCTGAGCATTTCGAGTCCCAATAGGAGGTCGTAGTCCATCTTGTGACACTGATTTGCTGGCCCGGTCGGCCCCCACCATCGAGGAGGGCATGAACGCTGGAAGATAGTAAACACCGTGAGACGGCAGTATTGCCCGCATCAGATAATCTTGCATGTACACTGGGTTGTTCGTCAATGAACAGTGGCGGAAGATCAAAGACTAGTTCGTCTCACCCTGTGAGTTGTAGTACAAAGCCCAAGGGTCTTTCGTTGGTTGATTGCCGGTCCAGTTGGGTGGGATGAAGTCGTTGTACCAGTTGCTCTGCCAGATCAAGGTCTTGAACGCCATCATTGGCTCTTGGTATATCTCGTGCAACGACCGGACGACTTGAGGGACGAATTTATATAATGTAGCGACAAGTGCGGCATGGATGATCGATGTCTCAAGAGTGCGTGGGATTTCAGAGCCAAAAAGCCAAGGACCGTCTGCAGCGAAACTCCAGTTTCCGAGAGGATCGCGGCCTTGATACGTCGCTACCGGCGCCGGAATGGGTCCGCGATTCAGAAGGATGATGTCAGAGCCCCGGGCTTTGGCACGCCAAAAAGCATCCTTGACTCGAACGCCAGTAAGCGGGTCGATCTGTGCCGTCGTATACACAGGAGCGTGTCTGTTGAGGGAAGTCTCGAGCGAGCTGGAAAGAACATAGCGGAGTACAGAGGATCCGGAGATCTTCAGGTATTCGTCCTTAGGTGGTATCTTGTATCTTGCGTGAGAGATGTTATGACCAGGCGGGAGACAGATGTGGTGAAAGTTGCAGAATTCTGGACCCGGACACGAATGACCGACCTCACCGGCAGTTTCTAACGCGCTGAGCCACAAGGAGTGCAGATGGAATGTAACTTCAGGTCCCACAAGGAGAATCCGCTTGGAACTTATGAGCGTGCACAGTTCAGAAGCGTTGAAGATGAATGAGGAGAGCGCATAGGGTCTCTGTGGGGAGAGGATAGGTACTGCTGAATGCAACAGCTTCTGCACAGCACGGATTCGTAGTGTGACATTGGTCCGGATCGGGAGCGAGGGCGGGATACCGCGTTCCAGTAAATCATTGAGGATCCTTTGCAACGGAGGCCCCTTCTTCCTCTTTGAGAGCCCTACAAAAAAGAAGAGACCCAGTGCTGAAGCAAGAAGCAGCTTCAGAGCGCATCGGTACCGCATTCTGGGCCCGCGGTTGATCTGGTCAAGACTCAAGAGTAGCTGGTTGCCAAAAGCGGATAGCTCTAGCACCATTGGCACTGCCTCTGCCCATCAATCATGAGCTCATGCGGCGCATTCACTCTGCTCACAACCAACATATACCCCATTCGAGATCCATCCCCTGACAGACAGTAATGGCGTATAGACTACCTCTACTGGGTCGGCTTTCCTTTCGTGAATATTTCGTTCTGGTGGCCGGCCTACTTTTCGTTGTCCTCGAGGGCTTCATCCATATAATCATCCTCTTGCTCCCCAAATTCGTCATCAACTTCTGTTACCAACGCTCTCGCTCCCTCTTCCACCGAATCGCTGGTCCGCCCAAGTCAAAATCAGCTCAGCGTCTTCTCGCGGATCGCATACGAGAAGCCCGTGACTTTGCCGAATTATGCTCCATCTACGGCTACACTCACGAGGAGCACGGTGCGTTCTGTCTACTTCAACTTCCCAAAGACTCAAATTCTCCTAGTTGTGTTAACCAAGGACGGGTACTTGCTGGGGCTGCATCGACTACCTTCGAAAAAAGGTCAACAAAAGGTACTTGTCACTGGAAATCAAAGTCGCCTCGAATGCAAGTTCACTGTTTGAACAGACCAGCCCGGGAACAAGTACAGGAAACCCGGTTGTTTATCTGCACCATGGACTTTTGATGAACAGCGAAGTTTGGATCTGCTTGACGGATGAAGAGCGTTCGCTGCCCTTCGTATTGGTCGAAAGAGGTTTCGACGTTTGGCTGGGCAACAATAGGCAATTTGCTCCGTGTTTTGAGTACAATCTGATCTGAACTTTCGACAGGGGAAACAAGTACTCGAAAAAGTCAATACACAATGGCCCGAATTCTACCAAATTTTGGGACTACAGGTTTGAGAGTCTGATCTATCGTGATGGCTCTCACTGATTCTCAAATACAGCATGGATGACTTTGCGTGGCACGATATCCCTGATTCCATCAACTATATTCTAGACTGCACCAAGGCAAAGACCTTGAGCTACATAGGTTTCAGTCAGGGCACAGCTCAAGCGTTCGCTGCTTTGAGCATCCACCCCAATCTGAATGAGAAGGTGAACGTCTTCGTCGCATTGGCTCCAGCTATGAGTCCTGCCGGTCTCGCCGCGTCGATCGTGGATAGTTTGATGAAGTCCTCGTAAGTAGTGCATCTCCGAACCGGTGAGGTCTCTAATTCTCGTGCAGGCCAACCCTTCTCTATCTGTTTTTCGGACGGAAATCGATCCTGCCGTCCACCGTAATGTGGCAATCCATTCTCTACCCTCCGATTTACACCAAAGTCATCGACACTTCTCTCCGGTGGCTTTTTGCGTGGCGCAGTGACAATATCTCTACTCAGCAGAAGCTCGCCGCGTACGCTCACCTCTACTCCTTCGCATCCGTCAAATCTGTGGTGCACTGGTTCCAGATCATGCGCAACGGGCAGTTCCAGATGTTCGACGACGAAGTGCAATCGCCAGTCATGCGGACTTCTGTGAGCAGCTATCGACCGGCACGCTTCCCGACGCGAAACATCGTCACGCCAATTGTGCTGTGTTACGGCGATTGTGACAGCCTGGTGGACATTGACGTCATGGTTTCCCAGTTGCCTGGTCACACCGTTTGTCGACGAATGGAGGGCTACGAACATCTCGACATTCTCTGGGGAAAAGACATTGACATCGACGTCATTCCGGAGGTCCTAGATGCGTTGAAGCAGCACTGCGAGAATCCTGAGATGCTGCTTGTCAACGGAAGTTCGGTACGCGAGAAGAAAGTGGTCATGTCAGACTGAACTTGTACATTAACTAATGTTTTACATATACCTTAATACAACATACTTGTATCATTCGTCGGCCATCTCAATCGACACGCACCAGAATACTGGTCCCCACGGATCTGACTGATCGTCTGCCGGACGGCTGTCATCTGGTTTGCTCGAAAAGTCGGTGTCGTGATGGACATCCGCGTCGTCAGCCACAGTGTCATGACGCCGCTCACAGCACACGAATCTGACACCCTGCCCGTCCCAGTATCGAGCCAGATCGAAGCCCAGTCCACCCGGCAGACGCAAGCGCAGAGAGGGAGAGAACTCCAAGAATCCGTAACAGAAGTCGGTCGTGATCACATCCTGGGAACGGCATTATGAGGGCATCCAGCGCAGCGAGGAAGGCTGGTAGACAAACCTGAGGTCCAAAAGTAACAGATTTCCGATGGCCTTCGTCGCTGAAAAACGAGCGACGTTGCTGCGCAGTCATGCCTTGTGGGACCACCTCAACGGGACTTTTAGACCCACGGCTCTTGCTGCGGATACGCTTGCTGAAGATGCTCCCACGGCTGGAGCTGCTCGATTTGGAACTGGATGAATTGATGGACGACGGCGTACTTGAGCGACGCGCGTGACTGCATAGATGAAGCGACGAGGTTTCATCCGCAATGGAATGACCAGGTGGAAGGGCGGCGGCGGCGTTTCGCCAAGGGGCAATCGAGCGTGCTCGAAATGAGGCATGGTTGCGACAAGCGGGGAGAGTGCCCATGGTTTGCGTGTAGCAGTGCAGGTCAAGTCGTGCGACAAAGTGGGGTCGATGTATCTTTCGTAAATGTTCAGCCTGATCAGTTCACGAGCGAGCAGATTAGTGACCGGGCACGCACTTCATGAATTGAAGAGCACTCCCGTACCCCATGGCAGCTGCAGAGGCCGCTCGAACACGTTGCCAAAGAGGATATCATCTGCAGAGCGGGGAGACAAGAAACGGCCTTCGCGTTTCGTGAGCTCGCGAGAAAGGTGGGAACCACTGAAGCGTTACCTTGAACTTGAATGCTCCAGGTAATGCCCTGACGATCTGGTCTCGAGAAATACTCGTCGTCGGCGCCTGACGAAGGGTCTCCGTCGTTGAAACCTTTGATGAAAACGGTTATTTCGCCCTCCCACTCGGCGGTGGAGATTCGGAAAGGAACATTCTTGTTCACGAGTGTACTGATTGGAGTGAGAGACTGGAGCGAGGGGCCGGCGAGAACCTGAAGCTTGGGCATGGAGAAACAAGAGTGAGACCAGCTGGAAGTGGTGAGTTCAAGTAGCCCGGCTACTTGCGACAAGAAGAATTGCACAGTCGACAGCCTGGTGTCGAACGACCTTTGTGGGTCGACGACACGATCACATCTGTCATTCTCACGTCACTCTCCAAACGCCGTAAAATACAGATGTCATAACGCAAGCAAGGATACAAAAGTCTATAATGGATCCGTCCTCTGTGCATGTGCCCGTTT